GGCGGGCGCGGGATCGGGGCCCTGCCCGCTGGGGCCGACCGGCTCGGCGTGGGCCGCCGGAAAGGGCCCCCGAGCGGAGAAAGGCCTTGGCCGGCGCTCCTGTCCTCCTCCCAGACGAGGCGGGAGGCCGAGGCCGACCCCCCTGGAAGGCGTCGCAGAGCGTCCCTGGCCGAGCCTGGCCTCTGGCACGCCGCGCCGGGCAGGAGAGCCGGGCGGGGCGAGGGGACTCGATCCAGCCACCGCTTGGCGCTTCGGGCGTTCCTTCCCTGGGTCTCGGGTCGGCGCTCCGCTTCCGAGCTTCCTGGAGAACCGCGGGGAAGACTAGGCGAGCTCCCGCTCCCCCCAGGGATCCGCCAAGCAGGCCAACGTGCACGGGCGAGCGCCCCAGACAACACCGAGGGCCGAGGCCGAGTCACCCGGCCCCTGTTCGAGCCCTTGCGAGGGAAGGCGGGGTCGCGTCCCCGTCGCCCCGTCCCGTCCCGTCCCCCCCCCCCCCCCCCTCGCCGCTGGCCTGCTCAAGCAGCGCGGAGCTTTTCCTGGAAGGGGGCCGGGAACGGAAAGGTCGGAGGGAGGGAAGGAGGGAGGGATCGCCGGCGCCTCAGTTCCTCCGCGGAGGACTCCCCCCCCCCACGCACGCACGCTCAGACAACTGCTCCCCTTACTCGGGAGTAAGTCCCAGTCCCCGCAGGTTCTACTCCTTCGGCTCTGGCCAGTTTCCCAGCGCAGCTGCAGTGCCCCGAGTTGCTCCGCATGAAGAAACTGGCTCAGTCTTGGATCGGGGCCCCTGCTGCCCTTCTGCTCTTCGGAGAGCTGAGGGCGACCCGGTCGGGGGCTCCGCTCGCCCTCCCCCTCCCCTTTTCCTTCCTGCGGGAGCCAGAGGAAGCCCGGCCGGCCGAGGGAGGGGGCGAGGGAAGAAGCCCCCCGCTGGCAGCACAACGCCGAAGGGGTCGCCGGGGCCAGGAGGCGAAACGGCGCCGCCCAAACAACCCCCCCCCCCAAAAAAAACCCTCCTGAAGGGAAAAAGAAAGGCCCCGAGAGAGCCCTGAGAGAAGCGCGGCGCCCGCCCTGGCTCCGCAGGACCCCAGCGTCCCCCCCCCCTCCACGCCTGGTTCTCGAGGCCCGTCGGTTCCCTCCCTCCCGCTCGCCCGGACCGCGTCCCCGAAGCCTCTGGACGCGCTCATTGGATGGCTCCAGGATTGTCGTCGAATCTCCGCCGACGGACAGCGGCCCCCCCTCCAGGGGATCGCCGGGCAAGAGGCGAGCAGAGACAGAGACCCGCGCGGCTGCCGCGGTCTGGCCAGGTGAGGCCGGCCCCCTGGGCCTGGGCTCTCGAGGCTGGCAGGGCTCTCTTGGGGGGGGCTTCGCGCCCCACCTCGAGTCGCTTCCGATGGATGGCGACCCCAGGAATCCATCTCTCCTCCAAGAGGTCCGACGGCTCACAGTCGGGCTCAGGTCTGGCAAGCGGAGGGCCGCGGTGGCTTCCTGGACGGAGCCCGCCCGCCTGGCGCCGGGCCTTCCTCTGTCCCTGCCGCCCCCAGCTTTAGCGAGCAGGGTCGTCTTTTCCAGCCACGCTTGTCTCCTCGCTACGGGACCCAAGTGGGAATGATGGCCTCAGTTTAGTCATGTCGGCTTCTGGGGACAGTTCAGGCGTCTTATTTGATCTAGGATCCACTTATCTGGGAGTGTTTTGGATGCTCCATGGTGCCGGCAAAACTCTAGTCAAACACCACATTTCAAGTGAATCACCTTTCTTCCTGTCCGCTGTCTTCGCTGTCCAACTTCCACACCCGATGGGCATGTAAGGGGGAGTGCCGCGGCCTGGGTGGTCTTGATCTTGGTCGTCAGCGACACACGGAACCGTCTTTCCCGGCTCCTCCGGGGCTGCCCTTCCCCGTCTCCTTTCGGCTGTTGATGGCGGAGCCAAGGAGCAGGACAGCTCGAGCAGTGTCGATTTCGTCACCGTCAGTCTTGAGGCGGTGTAGTTCCCCAGGAGCCGTTACTTTTGTCTTCTGGGTAGCTTCAGCTCTAGTCCTGCTGCTTTTACCTTCCGCAACAGCCGTTTTAAGTCTTCACTGTTTTCTGCCAGAAATCTACATATCTCAAATTGTTAACATTCCTTCTGCCAATTTTCACTCCACTTTCATCTAAAACGAATACAGCTTCTGCATATATGTAGAAGAGAGAGGGAGATAGAATGCATCCTTGTCTGACACCTTTGCCAACGGGAAACCGTCCTGTTTCTCCATATTCTGTCCTTGCCCGGAGTATTGGTTGTACACGAAAACAATCCGATGTTGCGGCACACCCCTTTCTTTTAAAACCATTCATAGCTTTCATGATCGGGCAGTCAAAAGCTTTGTTGTAATCTATGAACCAGAAGCTGACTTCCTTCTGAGATTCTCTAGTATCCTCCAGTAACCAACTTAAATTTGCAATACGATCTCTAGTGCCTCTCCTTCTGAATCTGTCTCGAGCCTCCTGGCACCTCATTGCCAGAGGTGGAGACTCGCGCAGACCGCTGGGAGGCCAGTTAAGATCGCTCCAGTCTCTAGTGCTTTGGCTTGCGACGACTGGAGCAGAAGCCGAAGACCGAACGGCGGGATCGACTTCCAGAACCAGTTAAGTCCGGAGGGTAGTTGAAGAATGCTATGAAAAGCGCTTTGATCCAAGGAAGAGGATTCCACTGTTCCTTGAACAGAGTACCTGCTCTTGTTGCATTGTTTCCTACTTTAGCAATTCCACTTTTTTGCGACTTTTGCGACTTAGCATGCCCGGGAATATGTTTTTGCAGTCTGCGAGGCTGTGTCATCCGCCTTGAGCCCCAGGGAGAAAGGCGAGCTATAAGTACGGCAATTAAACACATCAGTATTTTTAGACGCCTACAGGGACCTTTAGGAGAAGAACAGGACAGAGAGGAAGGAGCGCAGGCGCGGTAGGCGCTCCCCTCCCCGGCTCCAGGATGCAAAAGCTACCCCACCCCATCGCTCGCGACACCGCAGCCACCCGCACCGCAAAACTGCTCGTCTTCGCAAATTGCTCTTCGCACCCAAGAAAGGGCAGGTGACTTTTAAAAAAGTAAATAACGTTGAACAATAATTCTTGATTTATTTTTAAATCCCAGACTGTGCCGGGAGGGGGACAATCCCCAAGGCCAGAAAGCCCGCCTGCTTCCCTAGAAGACGCCCCCTCTCTCTCGCTCGGAGGTCCGGTTCTGAAAGGCGCCTTTGGGGAGAGAGCGCGCTGGCCCAGCGCTTCCCCGGCTGCGGGTGGAACGGCCCGAAGGAAAGCCCCCGGATCCGGACCCACCGAGGAAGAGCGCCGTGGCTATGAACGGGATGGGGACAGGACCGG